AGTGCAGCCGTAGTCCGTAGTCGTTGTCACGATCTTAACATCAAACAACACTCCAATTTTCGCGCCCTTTTAGCGTAGTTGGCCCAGTCCACGCGTGGCTTGGATTCTCACGCCCAGACGTAGTCTGTAGTCCGTAGTGACCATATCTTAAACTCCCTAATGATTTGATACAAAATACTTCTCACTCTAAAGCAAGTTTTTTCCTTTTCTCATCTGCTTCCTTCCACCACATTGACAAATATGACATCTCTGCCCAAATAAACTTGCGCTTTTTATCTACTGCAAGTGCATCAACAACATTATCAAGAATATGTCGGGTTTGCTGTGTGTAGTACTGATCTAAAGTCTTGATCCAGCCTGTTAAAAAGAAACAAACACTCATCAAGATGCTAAATTCATAACATGTAACCAGGCAGCTATATGATTGTACAGTGACATCATCATCATCATATTTTTATTTGCCTTCTTTACACAATACAAAAAAATTTATTTACAGTGGTTATAGCTAGAAGGCAAGGAGACCCAGGAAGCCACCGGGCTTATGAGAGAGCCACCTCACTTACATTAATAAATAAAGTAAAGAAAAAGTGCTGCGAATGTGCGGCTAGGCCAATTCAAGGATTATTTAAGTAAAAACTCTTGCATTTTTGTCTTAAAACTAAGAAGGTTTGACAAATGAGTGACTGAAACAGGAAGAGAGTTCCAAATTTTAGGACCTTGGTAAAGAATTTTAAATTGCTTGAGATTTGTGTGGCACAAATGTGTTCGATAATTACTGGCTGTTCTGGTACCATAGTTGTGAATTTGGCTATTCATTACAAAAAGATTGAGAAGCAAAGGAGGCAATAAGTTATTTCTATAATAAAACATGAATTTGGCGATTTCAAACGTATTGACTTGGAAAATATCTAAAATTCCTAGTTTGGAGAATAAAGGAGCGGAATGGGCTCGATAGTCTGAGTTGGTGATAGCCCATACAGCTCGCTTTTGCAAGTAATAAATTCTATTTAAGTTAGATACGTATGTGGACAACCAGGCACAGTTACAATAGATGATATAAGGATAAATTAAGGTGTAGTACAAAGTGAGCTTGGTTGTAGAGGACAGGAAAGAGCGAGACCTGAATATAATACCTATTGATTTAGCGATTTGTTTACATACATAGCTGATATGGTGTTTCCAAGTGAGATGATCATCAATATAGACCCCAAGGAATTTAGTTATGTTAGATTGTTGTAGGGGTTTACCTCGAAAGGAGAGAGAAATGCTGGAGTTAAATTTCTTCTGTCTGGGTTTAAAAATTACGTATTTAGTTTTCCTTATATTAAGTGAGAGCTTATTGCATTTTAGCCAGACATCAATATTTTGGAGTTCATCATTAAGTACGGATAATTTCTAAGCAATTTGGGTTTGAGTGAGAATAAAAGATACTGGTGTCATCAGTGAAAAGCAGAGGGTCTGTTAATTCAGAGGCATTAGGGAGGTCATTTATGTATAGAATGAACAATAGAGGGCCTAAAATCGAACCTTGAGGGACACCGCACTTGATAGTTTGCATAGTGTAAGTAAACTATGAACAGAAGGGGAAGTGGTAAAGCCTTGGTACATTAGTGCTTTCAGGTGTAGATGTACCAGGATTTTAATATTGTCATGAAGATTTATAGCCTTCAGTTGATGATAGTAATGACACTATCAATGATTTCAATCTAGCTTGATTTGTAATTTTTGTTTTTTAAGAATTAACAATCATGATAATTTGTCTGAAGCATTAGGGAAAACCCAACATAATCTCTCTAAAACTATCCAGTACATTTACTGAGAGACAATCAGCTTTTGAGCACTTGTAGGAGTCAATTGTGTAAAAATACAACAAAAAAGTAACAAATAAACATAAAATATTACCAACAACTATGCCAAAACATTCAAAAAGTGTACCTGGATCATTATGTGAGTGAGGTACAACAAACACATTTAAAGGCTCCTTGTCAAATGCTGTGTCATCATATTGCACATTCCAACCTTGCTTCCATGCACCGCCATCAATGTTATCAAATGGCATCACATCAAACATGTCTAACATCTGCATCAAAACAAAATGTTTCAACTTAATATTCTAACTGAAGATTGCTAGGACATGTGTTCTTTTATTCTCAACATGTGTGGAAAAATTCCATGCTACATGTCTGCAGTCAGCATATGAACATGTGCAATAAGTGTTAAGGTGGCTCTGTATGAGAATTTCTACTGTTGAAGTGTTTGAAGCAAGTACAGAAGGAACAAGTAGTAAATTTTACATTAAGACAGTTAATTCATATCATACTTAGGTAGTTGACAAAAGCAGTGGTCTACTATCTCAAGATCAACAGTTTATACCAGAAATCTCAAATGACTGTGAGAAATAATAGTTTCAGCATGAGAGCATAAGATTGAATTCATTTGTGTGAGTCTAGAGCACAATGCATGAGACTTACTAACAGCTCTGCAATTGGTAAACAAATTTAACTTGAACATCATTTGACTTCTCTTTGCATAGGAAACAATACAATACTATTATTACAACAAACATGATGAAAGGTACATCTAATTCTGTTCACACCACCTTCACATTGGCTGATTTTCCTGATGCTGAACCAGAGAATATACAGCCATCATCCATGTCACTGGCAGGCGCTGCAGGTCTTCTTACTGGTGCCAAATCCTGTGTCTTTTCAGTAGGTGGTTCTCGACCATTAAATCTCAATTGATCAACAGCATTCTGCAAACCATCAATTATTTTACCAGATCTCGATAAGTCTACTTGCAGTTTATTCAAATCTTTCTCCAGAAAATCCAAAGGTTCTTTTATTTGCTTTGTAACCTGAAGAACATATATTTTCATTTTAATTGTTTATGTAAAAAGACTAGTAAATCTTGAATTCGCTGGAATAACTGAATCTACATCTGGGCATGCACATGAATCACAAGCCAAAACAACTTGGTGTAAACTGCAGGGAACTGAGTTACAAGTGTGACCACTGTGAGCAATGGATACAAGTAAACTGCTGAACTGTTCCAGCAGCATGGTCCTGCATTCAAACAACCCAAAAAGAATGACTTAGCTCTATCACTCTAAAGATCTCATTAAGTGATTCTCCTTCTCCTTTGCTATAAAAAATTTCCCCCAAATATTGATTTCACAAAATGGGGCATTTTGATAGCAGCAGAAGTAATCTTGTAAACAAACTCAGGACAATTTCATGTGTATCTAACATATCGAGATTGTCCCATAAGTTCTTTACAAGTCTGAGAAAGTTAAACTATGGGATGATATCAATTGATAATGACTGTGTTAAATGATTCATAGAGCTTATATGGTCATTTTGAACTTAAATCATTTCATTTTTGAAACATTTCAATCTTATTCTACTAAAACTCCAAAAATTTTATTTTCCAGCCCTTATTTAACTGGCCATCAACTACCAGAAGTGATTAACATGTAACTTCTCCATATAACATCAAAGCATTATCCAGCAAAAAAGTAATGAGAACACTCAAACTTATGACTTTAAGGTTGTTATCTTGATCTAATGCCAAATTCTCCTTGCTAATTTACCAAGAAATGTGTAAGAACTAGAGGGGAGAAAAAACAATCAGATCTTAGGAGTTAAAGGATTAATAGGAGAGACTTTGCTTGCAGAATTGTCCAATACAAATGTTTCTCTTTATTTCAGAATCACTCCAGTTGTTTCACTTGTGAGTTGGAAATATTATTGCCACCATATTCAGTCAATTTAGTTGCAATAACAATGTCTAAGAATTCAAATTTCCAATAATGTCAATTAATGATGTCTATAGTACCCCTTGATTTTAGTGGAATATTTAAATTTCAAAGTTGGACTCTATCACTTTATCCTTTTGACATCAACTCAACTGAAAACAATTTGTGCAAAACACCTCCTCTAATTCAATAAAAGTGTTTATGTTAATTAGAGCAGGTACAGTCTTATGGACTTACATTCAAGAGTTTTTGCCATAAAATGATGGAAAAGATGGAGTAAAAAATTCAGGTGGGATTAAACAATACATCAGTTCTCTTCAGAACAAATGAACTATCCTCAATGACGAAAAAAAAATTACATCACATGAAAATGAATTTGAGGTAAATAAAACCTAATTTAAAGCAAGTATTTCTCGAAAGCTGAAAAATATATGGCACTAAAGCCTATCAAAGCTTGAATTTATAATTTTTAAAAGCCATCTGTTCACATGTCGACATTTAAAAAGGTCCTGGTTTGCTAATTAACTAAACTATGTTAATGCATCTTAAACACCTGTAAGAAGCTTGGAATAACAAGAAAGTCTCTAGTGCAGTTTCCGCTCAATTTACATAAGTCCTTAGGATGATAATTGCACACGTGGATAAACAGATCGGCAAGGTATAAGCACCTCTGAAGGCTTCATCAAATTAAAACAAGAAACGTTTGAAAACCGCATGAAAATTTAGCTTGTCGCATCGCCCAGAGACGATTGAGAAAGACTAACAAAAGCACTTACTACATGCTAGGCAACAGCTGGAATTCGGGGGTTTCTCCAGACGGAAAATTGTTGAATCAGTAAATACCTTACACAGGATGTTAACGGTTATAAAGTAACTCTGAAGGTAAATAACGCCAGGTACTTGTGGAAATATTATAATCATTTTCCTTCTTAAATTTGTGAAGTCAATGAATGTTTGCTACAGCACAAACCCTCAAGCTAAGTTACCTCATTTTTGAAAATTTCGTGTGAACTTGGCAGTCTTCCTAGTTGATCCACCACCATATACATAGAAATGAAAAAGACACAGAACATAGCCCCGCCGAGTAAGACAATCCATTTTTTCATTGTCCACGAAATCCTCCCAAAACCCTTTTCACTAACCACAACAACGATATGACTTCCAGAAGATCGATTGTTTCTCCGTCACGCGGAGAGGTTTAGTCTGGGCACTAGTGTCAAGGCCCTCACGCCTGAAAACTTGAACTACAATTTGCAGTTCGACACACGAGGTTGAGCTACGAAATAGCCAAATTTTACTCTTCTTGGAAGATTTTTGTTCCATTATGGAGAAAGTTCAAGAACTTAAAGAAACCAGAGATGAAATTCAGAACATCCTCTCGACTGCAACTCGTGCACGTGTCAAAAAAATCCTACAAGACGAGTTGGAACGCGTAGAACGAGAAATCGAAACTGAAGAAAAGAGGGCAGCGAAGCCCTCCGTGAAGAAACCGCATGTCACCTTGACTAAAATCACGTCGTACGCTTGGGATCAATCACCAAAATTCGTGAAAATTTACATCAATTTGCCGGAAGTGGAAACTCTTCCTGAAGAGAATATCTCTTCGAAATTCACCTCCAAGTCAATGGAATTGAAAGTACTTGGTTTGAAAGGAAAGAATTATCATTTTCAGATAATCAATTTGTTGCATCCTATTCTTCCCGAATCCAGTTCAGTGAAAGTTAAATCTGGACGTGTGACTCTCCTTTTGAAGAAGGACAAAGACGAAAGTTGGTCTTGTTTGACCGTGACAGAGAACTTGAAGAATATGAAAGAGCAGCCGAAAGTGGACGACAAAAAGGATCCTGGAGAAGGAATAATGGACTTGATGAGGAAGATGTACGACGAAGGAGATGATGAGATGAAAAGGACCATAGCTAAGGCCTGGACGGAGTCAAGGGAAAAGCAGAATTCATATGATCCGTTGTCCTAGCCTTGATCTTTCACTCTGTTATGTGATCCTCGTATCTTGGAACAGTAACCGTGCACACTGTTTCCTCGGGAAATATCTTAGTCAAAGACAATTTTTGTACTTTATTTTGCAGACAGCCTGAGCCAAGTAACTTTGAGAAGCTTCTAGGAAGCCTCATTGGCACTTAGCCCTTTAACTCTCACATCAAATTTGTCATTCTCCTTACTGTCAACCATACAATCCTTATAATGTTAGTTCAGAGAATTTAGTATTAGATCAGCTAATTATCCCTAAATTGATATTTTTGTTTATTCTCATCACTTATCTGGTTGATATTGCATTGATATTGTAAGGAAAAATTCTGTCTTGGTCACTCATGGGAGTTGAAGAGTTAAGAAAAAGAAGCTATCTAGGAACTCTGTAAAAATTGCTGTGTAATGCTGAGTTCATGGTTAGTCAGATATAGTAATATCATAGTGTTAGTACCCCCAACAAAATTCAGGTAAAAAAAATAGGTGTTCATGCTGTTCTCTTACATTCCAAAGATATAAATGTAGCTTAACTAGTGCTGGTGACTTATTAGATACCACCTTATATGTTGAGCCAGTTTAATGTTTAACCCTATGTACTCTAAGAGTGATGGCGTATCACTCATGAAGATCAATAGAGTAGAGGAAATGATTGCTAACCTAGGAAGCTTTGATTGTTAAACAATTTTTCTTGTCAGTACCGAAGGAAAAGTATTAAGAGGAGTGTGAAGAATATAGATACTGATGTTTGGGTTACCTTTTTCCCTTGTGTGGAAATTTCAGGTTGATGTACAGCTTAAGTTTATATATCAGAAGGATGCTTGCTAAGCTCTGAGATCCTGGTCTGAGATTAGTCTCCTACATTAATTTAAGAATGATTGTCAAGAGAGCTTTGATCACATGAAGGGCACAACACAAATTTGAAACCTTTGTTGTCATGTCAAGAATCAAAAATCACAACATAACAGTTGTAATACCTGTTTAATTCAGTGCGTGTTCTTTTCACCTGAATGTAAGAAGCAAAATAAACTTGTTAATCTTGTTATTGGTTGAGTAGAAGGGTCTCAAAAGATGTCAAAATGACACAGCTTGCATTGATCCACCTCTTCTGCTGTTTCCTCTCTCTCTCTCTCTCTCTTTGAAAAGGATGTGAGCATGCAACCATGACACAGCACCTCAGTGAAACATATTTCAAACCATTCTGATGATGTCGTCTGTAAACAACTATTCTCTTGTTTTGCATTGTTTTCATTATCATTAATGTACTGTAATTTAGATTCTCTTATTTGACTTGAAATTGGTCAAAATTATGAAGTTGGCCTGCCCAGATGAGCATCAGCTAACTATGCACCAGACAAGTATAGATTGTTGTTGTTGTTGTGTTTGTTTTCGGTGGCAAATTGCTGGGCAGTGATGATTGGTTCACCTCATCTTGGATCATTTGAAGATGGAAATCTAAGAACAGACTCAATTAATATTAGTAATAAAGTATGAAAGAATCCGTACTCCTAACTCACAGTAGGTTTAAAGGGTAAAAGATGTTTTTTTTTTTTATGAGACTGTAATACAAAATAAATCCAAAAAAAAACCTAATACGGCTTTTATTTTGCCCACGCCTCTGGAGTGTGATCAATGTTACTTCAGTGAACGAATACGGCAGGGTTACATAGCCCTTGAACCGTCGGGTCCTGGACCTGGATTAGCTGTACAAAGTGTCCAGGGGATTGTGGGAAGTACTGTGGCGGCCATCTTGAGCGCAGGTGATCGAACTCGAAAACTGTATAGTGAGTCTTTATTCGTCTTTTTCTTCTTTTGAGATGATTAAGGCGATACTTGTATTCAACAACCATGGGAAACCTCGGATGACGAAATTTTTTGTGCATTATGTGAGTAGCCTGCCTTCTTTAGTAGCCTTTGCCTTCTTCTTTACTAGCTATGCATCAATTAATACACTAGAATGCCGTTGATAAGGGAGAAAACTGGTTGAAATAGGAAGAAATTAACGTAGAAATGATTCAAATTCACATCTCTTAGGCCAAGGAGCTTGTGCGTATTTGTGTTGTTCAATATCTTATTGTATAATTGCAATCAGAATCAAGGGTAGCCTATTTAAAAAAAAACATTTTTTCTTTGAGTGTTAAAAGTGATCCTTGACGACAATCGTTTTTTTCGTCCTCAGGACAGTCTCTTTTCTTTTGAGGAAATAAAAAGAAATCGAACCACCTATACTGATCACTTTCAAAGCTTATTGGAGCAATCATGTTTTGATTACTCACATTGTCTTATACAGTAGAAGCCCAAGTTCCTAAGAATATATAGAGATACGAAGTATTTTTTTCTCTGGCTGAGTTTCAAGCCAGGCTACTGAACAGTATGAGTATCCATGCCTAAAGAGTATTAAACTTTTTGACCTTGAAATTATTGAAGCTAATTCTTGGGCATTTCCTGAAACAAGAAAAAGCCTGTGTGTATATCAGTGTGTAAGGACTGAACCAAATGTGCAAAATTAACTTGCACATTCAAAGCAGTTTTTGGAGTTTAAGAATCAGAGATTGATTTGTATGTTTGAGTTTTTATTTCATGCTTACAAACATGAACCTTGCTTGAAAGAAGGTCTGCTACTAATCATAAAGATGATCAAATTCCAACTCCTTTTGTTAATTTTGTTTCAGTCTGAGGACATGCAACATCAAATAATAAGAGAAACATTTCACATAGTCTCAAGAAGGGATGACAATGTTTGTAATTTCTTAGAAGGGGGAACGTAAGTAACTTTATTTGTATTATCTTAAGTTTGTTTTTTGTTTCTTGAAGTCACTTTGCAGTAAATGGTTTGAACTCAGAAATAACATTTGATTATGTGTTCCGATCATACTAGTGAGTTGGTAGTGGTGTTGGTAGTGGTGATTGATGTTTGAACAACCTGAGAGTCATTGATGATGAATTCTGCTGAGGTTATCAAAACTTCACTTGCTAATGCTTACAACAATTCTTCTCTGGACCACTCTCACTAAGACCCCTAGACAGCATAATGAAATGCAAGTTGTTATGTATCATTTTACTTTGAAATATATTTGTAATAGATCAAAGCTTTTGATCAATTTTCATAATAATGCCTTGGAAACTTACAGTCATGGTTGATTTTAGGTTGATCGGTGGTTCTGACTTCAAGATTATTTACCGACATTACGCTACGCTTTATTTTGTGTTCTGTGTGGATTCATCAGAGAGTGAGCTAGGAATACTTGATCTCATACAGGTAAGTTGAAATATGAAATCAACACAGCTTCAACATTGAACTTTGGAGTAAGTCTATTTACTGCCACAGTTAAAAATCATTTTGAAATTTTGAGAGAACTTAAAAGCAGTGGGTTTCCAAAGTCCTGAAATTTTTTCTCTTAAGTACTCTAATTTTCTCCTTTATTAAGCAGTCACCTCTATCAAGCAGTCCTGGTCACCCTTTACCAAGTCATAACAGCCTGTTTGTATTGTCTTCCAACTGTAATGAATGTTCACCTACGGCAGAAGACTAATAAAACTAGGAATAATTTTCAAGTGAAATTTAATCCTGAAATCAATGTCAATAGCATTTTTGAGTGAGTTTTTGTTCATTAAGCTGCCAATTATAGGATGAAATGGCTTTTTTTTTCTTTTTTTGTATCCCTTTTCTGCAGCACCTGTATAAGCGGTCAACTTGTATTAAGCAGTCATCCCACTTTTCCCAGAGGGTGACCACTTAATACAGGTTGGACTGTATTGTGAACACCATGAAAAAGTGATGGTTATGTCCCTTTATATTTTTATTTGATCAATGATAAATGGCCTTTTTTGTTTCTTCTAGGTATTTGTGGAAACTTTAGACAAGTGTTTTGAAAATGTCTGTGAGCTGGATCTTATATTTCATATGGACAAGGTATGCAAACAGAAGCATGTATTATGTGCTCAATTTGAAATTTTTAAGCAGACGTGTATATGGTGTAGTTTGAAGTTATCTTAGGTCGAAACAATTCAAGCAACCTCTAGTTTAATTTGCATTTTTCTGTGTTTCATACAGGTTCACTTTATTTTACAAGAGATTGTAATGGGTGGCATGGTACTAGAAACAAACATGTCTGAGATTTTAACCCACATTGAGGCACAGAATAAATTAGAAAAATCAGAGGTAAGATGCATCTTCAAAGTTATGAATGAGTAATTGTTTTTAAGTGTCATATTTCATGGTGCACATGCATACAGTCTTCAGGCAATTCTGGTTGAATGTTTGGATTGACAAGAAATTGTAGGTACACCCACAGATTGCTAATGTAATTTAAAAAGAGATCCTGATTTAAGTTGTGATTTCTCTCTTTCCATAATCCTTATTCAAATTGGAAAGAAAATGGCACCAAGTCTATCTTACAGAGATTGCTGTCATTTGCAAGGAAGCAATTCTGTGACCTGTGTTTGTTGGTCACAGGTAGTTAACTGTCACTAACAGTAGTGTTTCCATCACTAAGTGATTGTATTCTTAAGTTAAGAAGATAAGCTGATTCCCTTTTCACTCTTTACCAAGGCTGCTGATACTTTTTACCATAATGATGTTAAATTGTTTTCTTGTTCCTAGGCTGGAATAAGTGCTGCACCTCAGAGAGCAATGTCTGCTGTTAGAAATATCAGTCCAAACCTACATAATCTTCCCAAACCTAATATAAACCTACCATCCATGAAATCACTCCCACACATAAACTTACCCTCCTTCAAGTAGAATAGCAAATGTCCTATTTTTCTAATTAAAATGACTTAACTGTTGTTGATAATGATACATAGAATGAAATAATTTTATTTTCATGTACAGGTTGTTACAGTTGTAGGTAGCTTAGAGTTACATAGGGTAGTATTGGTAACAGGAGAGATTATAATCTAAGGCCAAGTTGTTCAAAGCTGGGTTAATATAATCCAGGGTTATTATGAAGTTTGTTTTCAGATCTGAAAGCTTTAAAATGAAATTCAGTATAATTTTTTTTTGGTTACAATTTGGTGATTGGATGCCCCACAAAGAATACTTAAGTAAAAAATTATCCCACATAGGCTTTTGAACATAGGAAAAAAAGAAACTCAGTTTATATTTTATCCATGGGTTAGCACTAATCAGCCTTCGAACAACTGGGCCTAGGTCTGTAATGCTGCGAGTGTTTCTGGGGTCCTAGACAAATCTTGGGTCTCAAAGATGGAGCACTTTTGCAAACACTGATGTCCCCTAACATTATATGAAAACAATTTAAAGTCAAGATTGCTTCCCTGGTGTTTAAGATTTATAGCTGTCAATGGGCACTCACCATTTGGTCAGAACTCTCTTATCAGACTGCTTAATTTAGATGAGCTTTTTTTTGTTTTGTTTTTTTTTTCCCAATCAAGTGTTTCTCCATATTTCCAAGAAAAAGTTATCCAAGAATAGGGTTCACAATTTTTAGACTGACAGATTTGATGAGTTAATTAAGAGTTACAACTGGATTTGTGAAATAGGTTGGCCAGCCTGGCTTCTCCGTTTTGACTTATGGTGTGAAACTAATACAATTGTTTAAGAAAAAAACCTTGGTGACGCTATCTTTGTTGAATTAAACTGTTAAAATTAAATTAAAATTAAGTTAAAATTAAAATGCCTGTCTTCAAGGCCAAGTCTTGATTTAATACTGGGGGCAGTCAGCAAATTATGTATGATAAAAATGATATTCACAAATGTACACTATACATGGAGGGTTGTTCAAATTGGGACACTTAAAACTAAAGTTGCCCAGTCTGTGTGCATAAGCAGTACTATAGTATCTAAAGATAGAGCTGAAAAAGTCCAATAAGAGCATTTTTTGTTAAACAAATGTTAAAAGTAAACTAGGATTGTAGTGGTTTTGCATGATTATGTTCTCATGATTTATCCAGAACACTCCTGCCATCTTTCAAACCAACAAGTTGCAATGAAAATAAAAAAGAATCATGCCTTCTTTGCATGTTCCGGAACTTGAGCCAGTTCTTTCTTTTTTTTTCTGGGTTATTTTGTGAGTCTTATCTTTTGCACCACTTTGCCATAATAATTTTTATTTGGGTGTGGTTGTACAACACCCGATTAAGAGGTGTCACTACTGATGACATGTAGGGTGAAAGAAGTGTCAGAAGAAAAACAATTCAGAAAAAAAAAACAAAGGTCATGGAACGATTTTGTTAAAATTCAACAGCTCAGCTAATCATACCTCAGTTTGAGTAAAGTTAAGAGTAGTAAAGGATCACTGAGTCTTGTATCTTTCAATCACAGTTGAGCTATCTTCCCACGTGTGTACCTGTGGTATTCTCCAAAGTGTTTCTTGTTTTCATTTATTGTTTTTAACTGAGCATGCATGCATGAAATGAATTTAAAAAACTGGAATATTTAAGGTACTAATTAAATGAAAAGGGCATTTTGTTTATCACTGTAATTGAAATTAACAATGAAATGTAAATTTATTTCAGTTTCAAGAAAAACAGATTTTCCACACATTTTCTTAGTTTAGGTAACTTTATTGATTGTGGAAAATCCCCACTCTCAGACATAAAGAAGCAGTCCAGATTTTTTGACTTTGTACCAGTAATCAATAAATTTAAAGTGACCAACAAAAATTTTGCTTCATTCTTACAGCTGAAGTATTTTTAAGGGTTATAACACTACTGTTAGTGGCGCACAGGATTGAACAATTATACGTATATGTCCAGGTGCTGAGTAAATTATTCTCAACAACAAACATTAATATTTGTGCAAATGACAAACTAAAATGAGATACATATGTTACAAAAACTCCACCATAATATATCAAAGTTGTGATTGAATATTTCATGTTTCTCAAAAGAACAAACCCAAATATAAAGTTTGGCACAGCAACCACAACAAGATCTACAACACCTTCAGTAGCTGATACCTAACTGCAAAAATTATTTCCTGCATTGTAATAAAAAATCAAGTACAGATTCAACAATGAGCTAGCCCACACTTGTAGCAAGAAAAAAATTTTACAATGCGTTAAACATGTTTTCTCAAATGTAACTGAAAAGAAATTTTTTCTGATCTTAATAACTGCTACATTAACTGTAACTGTCAGTTACACAGAAACTGCTTGTACTGCATATCTATTTTACTCTGATTCCATGGCAGAAATATTGAACATTTGTACTGAGAACACTTTCTGTGCTGATAAATCTGCCACAAAATGCACTACATTAACTCCTGCATTATTTCTCAGACTATCTGATTTATTTTACAGTTGTAAATGTACACAAGTCCCAGTGGTAAAGAAAACTCTCTACTGTGAAGTAATCAAAATTATTTTCTCCAATTTTTGAAACCAAGATGTACAAATCAAATAAAATTTTTTCATTTTTTTTTCAAAACCATTCACAATTTCTCATCTTGATTGTATTGGACCTTTTATATAGAAGTGGATCAGAAAAACTCCCTTTTACAGTCCTAGGTTTTGTGTGTAGGCAAGCATAAAAACCCTACTTTAACCAACTTGTATTTTTCCATGCAAATAAACATAGAAAACTACCAGTAAAGGTGATTTAAAATATATTAAAAATATAAATAAGGTTTTAATAACTAAATGTAACTTCCAATGGATTGATCATTATTTTTGCCAGTAATGTGCTAAAGAAATATTTGGCAAAATTAAAAAATAAATTAGGTACCAGTATAATAGCTTTTAGCCACTGGGATACACAGAATATGACAACCACTATTCTAGTATAGCTTGTGTTGCCAGCACTGCACTATCGACCTTTTTTGCAAACAAAAATACAAACAAGGCTCATACTAACAAATGATAAGGAGCACAAACAAAACTATCTGTATTTGCCTCTTATATCAAAATTCAGTCACTTAACCCATTACCTCCCGTAAGTGTTTTAATTTCCACACATTATCCAACAAACAGGTAATGAAAAAAATTCAAATTCAGTTATCATGAAGGAGCTAAAGGGGAAAATTGATGATCAGATCTTGGGGTTTAAAGGGTTAATTAAACAATGGTAGGTTGACCTGCCTCAGTAAGCTAACAATAAGCTTCAGAATAAGAATAAGAATCTTAATATCAGATTCACCAACAATTAGTTAAGCTAAGTGAAGGTATGTCATAATTTTATTACAAGGTTAGTTCACTAACTAAATGTATTTATGTCTCAAAAATCCTTTCATTTAATAAATCCCAGAGTAATTTCCCAAGAGTTGAATGCTTTCACCTATTGTGCACTTGTCTGTAAGTTGGGTCAACTCTAGAGTAAGGAGAAAATCAAATCGTGACAGTAAGTTATTAAGTTGAATAACATTCTAATAGTAAGCTGGGCATGCAAAGGGAAGATGCCAAAGAGGAGATTCAGGGTGCTCCTTCCTTTGGGTTTGGGAGTGAAAGATGATAAAAAGTTCAAGAGTTTTTCCATTCTAGTATTGAGAATAGTGACAACAATTACTGTAAGGATTGACTCAACGGGCAATTTCACTCAGAGTACTTTTTTGTGTCATTATCTATTTCACTAAATAATTGAATATGAAGATTTTCAGACCACAGCACAATTGAATCATCAACCCTGTACTGATTTGATACCACTTAGCTATCAAATGCATGTGCAGAAATTGATGGAAATTATCTAAAGAGGATTGGCCAAGGTTGCAGCTCCCTCTATAACTAGCTTGATTGTTGGTTGCAAGGTGTTGCACTATGAATTGCTTGTTTTCACCGTTAACATATTGTTTACTCTGAACTTGACAAAGCAGCCACATACCTCATCACTTCATCAGGGATGTAAATGTAATCTACTGGAACAAGGCTTGAAAGAGTACTAAGTGTGCTTATGAAACTTAGTTTCCTCCAAAAATTGGCACTGAAAAAAGTTGCAAGAAAAAGAGGCAATTCACAGACATTCTAAATTACAGAAGCAGTAGGTAACATATTTGACACATGATGTGATGTATCTGCCATGTATCTGCCTTCAGTTATTCTGTGTTGTGAAATGAACTTTCCCTAAAAATCCATTTCTATAACACACACTATAAATGTACTCCAATAGTAAAAATACATTACACATCATTTCAATCGTATCTTACTTGATGAGTGGTTTGGCAAGTGTAATAACTGCTTTGAGTCGAAAACTGGGATGCACAATGAACATTTCTTTCATCTTTTTCAGGCTAAATTGAGAATAAAAAAAAAGAGTCGTATTTTAAGATCACCATTTCAAGGGCTATTAGTGAGCCTAATTGTATCAATGATATGAATAAGTTTGTGACATGTTTGTTGGAGTAATGCCTTCTTCCATCCTTTGGAAGTATGAAGATGATGTAATAATATCTTCTGATCCTGAATTTTTGCCCACTAATTACCAGAAAAAAAATTCTAGTTTCCTACCCTCCTTCGATATATTGGTAGAATCTTTTCATCCATGTTACAGATGGCATGTTTTGCTGTCTTGTTCCACCATTCAAGTACACCAGATAGTAATCCTCATGGATTGCCAGAAGTTCCAAAGTGCTAATGACATAACTAATTACAGTAATAAACAAGAAAAAAAATGGAGAAATTAAAAAGAAACACGAAAGTGTTATAGCAGAGACTTCTATTACTTTTACCTATTTACCCTCAATGTCAGTACCAGTTTTAACAGTCTCTGAATACATTCTGAGTCAGGACCCAAATGAAATTCTGAAAACCGTCAACTTTTGATCCCTCCACTCACACCACTTATCAAGGTTTATACAATCAAAATTGCTGACTTAGATACTTAACCCCCTTTATTTATGGTGGGTGAAAGAGGAATAAGCAAAGACTACAGAAGTGAGAAAAAGGATTACCAGTACTGGAAAAAATACAACCCCAAGCAAAAAATTACTAGTTATCAGTCAGTCACGGGAAGAGGAATAAGCAAGAAAGAAGGACTGTTAACATCCTCTTAATGTCTTTTGACAGAGAACTTACAAGAAAAGCTGCTCCATTAGAAAATCATAGTTCTTAATAGTCTTCTCAGGTAGATAACAGGCAGCAATCACAACAATGGTTGACTTAGTATCACTGAAATAACCTGAAATTTCAGAAAAAAAAACATTTGCTTTTTTTTAAATTTATTATTATTTTTAATTAAGTAAGGCAAATGAAAATTTAGTTAGTACACATAGGAAGAGTATCAGAACAGTAAAGCTAGACAGTAAGTGCACCAGGTCAGTGTGCACTTACAGCCACTTTAATTAGTTCCCTAGTTCCCAAATCAAGATTTTCAAGCCTAGAATATTAATTCAAGACCGTGCTTCAGCTGCACATCTGTGGTAACCTGTAGTCTGGTTTCCATAAAACCCCAACCAGGTGTGGAAAGCATAATAATTTATAATCATGAATCAGAAGAGTATATAATTATAATTTCAATGGGCCCTTTCTGGCCATCTCTGCCATGCAACATAAACACACTTGATCTAACCAATAGATTGTGGAAATGATGCCTTGAGACTCAAGTAAACAGCACCTACTTAAGTAACCTGTCTAGACATTAAGTATAACCACTTATAAACCAAGCCATTAACACAACATAATTAACAACAAACACAGACAGGTCCAATCA